AAATGGGGTATTAAAAGTCCATTTATCCTTGTGCAATCTCAAACCCTAATCTTCAGTCATCAGTGCTTAGGGAGGTGTCTTGAGCTAATTAACCCTAATGCAGTCTTGAACCAAAGGAGATCTTGTGAGAGAATAATTGATAAATGAGATGGCAAATTTTGGGGTACAACAACAGCCATCATATGTTAAGCGCTGACTTGTTCTTGAAGCAAGTTCAAACAAGTATGGTTCAAGGCATAAAGTAAGGTGGTTAGTAGCTTTTAGTCGCGCCTAAGCTGGATTTGTAAGCATGAATTAAGGAAAAGTACCCTCAGAAGCAAAAGCAAAGCATGGGCCCAACATAAACTTGTACAAAAAATTTCTTTTCAAGGACAACAATGGTACTTCTATGTCACACGTGGGGGAATACTTTGGATAAAGTCTCAAAAGTGGGTGTGAGCATTAAATGATGATGAGATTTATCAAACCAGAAATCCTGCAATATGAGATTATGCATCGTAGCTTAATTCTGGGTCAGAACTTCAGCATCAGCATAACTTTTAATAAACATCCAACTTTTGATCTTTGAATCTCCCTGCTCCAGCAAATTCTGAAGGAGTTCTCAGACTTTCAAGAAAGCTTGTAACACGCTTTGTAGACCCTCTTTGAATTACTCTTGCAAATTCTGCCTGAACCTACATGAAAACTGGCCCAGAAGTTGTAACCAGATTCTTATTTGAAAATGCTCATAATTTACTAAGTGTTTAAGTTTCAGGGATATGTTTTTGAGGAGTTAGAGCTTGAAATCCTAGCATTTCTAGGAGAAATTCTATTTTGCAATGTTTTAGATCTTATTGAGATCTACAACTCTTGTGTTAGAAGTTCTTTCAGAATCAACTTGCATCATGGTGAAAATCTGGCCAGAAGTTATGAACTTATCATATTTCTTAAACACTTAGAAAACTTTCTAAGTATTTAGAATTTTGACTTTTCCAAAGTAATTTTGAATTTTGACTTTCCTGATGAAATAAACTTCATATTTCAACATGTCTTGACGAAACATAATTCTTGATACTTGATTTTGCTCCAAAAGTCAAGGTTTGATTTTCAGTATGTAATTGACCATTTTGCCCTTGTGTCAATTCCAAACCTAAATTGATGTATTATTGCTGCAAACTTGATGTCATGGAAGATCTTGAGGTGAAAATTCTTGAGAAATGAGAGGGAAAATTTTGGGGTACAACAGCTGCCCCTGTTCAATCTTCTTAAACCTGAAGAGTTAGATTGGAGAGTCCGCCATTCGTGACTTGAGGGTGGAAGATGATTGAACACTAGAGTGCCTAGAAATTTGCAATTGATGATGTGTTAGTTGATTGTGTGGGGAATGAGCTTAGAGATGCCATTCAGAGTGACTGGGGAAAGTATCAGGATAAATCTTTTGGTTGATTTAAACTGGAGTGGTAGATGTCTTTGTCTGTAGATTTTTTCTGCAAGGAAAAAGATTAGTTGCATGCAAATGTATGCATAGTGTAATGATGTTCTCAAAATAAATGAGATTACATTGTATGCATTTGTCATGTATGCTTTATAATTTATGAATGTGATGCATTTCTTGCAGCGTGTCTTTGTCTAGGAAAATAAATCCTTGACAACATGCTGATGAGCCTTGGGAAATGAGCTCCCAGACTGCTACCGAGCATGAAGAGTATGCTCCTTTTATTTTAGGATGTTTCCGTTGGGGAATACCAACTTGTTTAAGAAGACTCTATGGAGAGTGCTGATCTCTGCTTGGGAAAAGAGTTAAATGCTCGACTAGGGAATTATTCTTGACTGGAGAACATCAAAAACTGGCTGTTATCTGGTCGAAATCCAGGTTTGGCAGCAATTCGTTAAGGATGATGAAGTTGACTGCTATCTGGTCAGGTCCAACCTTCACAGTGACTTGCAGGGGAAGAATCTGAATTAACTGTTATCCGGTTGGAATCTAGGCTTCACAAAAAATTGCTTGAAGTTGAACTGTTATCTGGTCGGGTTCCAGACTTCATAGTGACTTGAAGTGGTAACTACTATCTGGTCGGGTCCAGGCTTCATAGTTTTTTTGAAAAGTTACACTATTATCTGGTCAGGTCCAGGCTTCATGGTGACTCACCGAGGAAGAATAAATTAAACTGTTATCTGGCCGGGTCCAGGCTTCACAGTAATTTATTGACATTAAATTACTATCTGGTCGGATTCCAGGCTTCGCAAATTTTTTGGGATGGATGAAGTTAATTGCTATCTGGTCGGGTCCAGACTTTACAGTAACTTGCTTGAAATTAGTTGTTATCTGATCGGACTCCAGGCTTCACAAAAAATTTCTGAGGGAATAAAGTTAATTACTATCTGGTCGTATCCAGGCTTCACAATAACTTACTTGGAAAGATAAAGTTGAACTGATATTTGGTCGGATACAAGCTTCACAGTAACTTGCTTGAAGAGATAAAGTTGAACTGATATCTGGTCGGGTCCAGGCTTCATAGTAACTTGCTTGAAGAGATAAAGTTGAACTGATATTTTGTCGGGTCCAGGCTTCACAGTAACTTACTTGGGGTAGAGGAAAACTCTACTGGGGAGAAGAAGTTAAACCCTTGTCTGGTTGAGTCCAGGTTTTTAAATATCTCGAAGAGTTAAACTATTATCTGGTTGGGTCCAGGCTTCATAGTATCTTGAGAAGTTAACTATTATCTGGTCGGGGTCAAGCTTCATAGTATTTGAAAAGTTTCACTATTATTTGGTCGGGTCCAGGCTTCATAGTGACTGAAAGTTGTACTATTACCTGGTCGGGTCCAGGCTTCATAGTATTTGAAAGGTTACACTATTATCTGGTCGGGTCCAGGCTTCATAGTATTTTGAACGAACAAAGTTGACTGTTATCTGGTCGCATCCAGGCTTCACATCAACTTTTGGAGATAGCAATGACTTTGTTGGCGACTTCAATGGGGATTAGGGGTTGTAGCCCTCTGATTTGTATTAGTCTGAAAGGTAAACTCAAGCTGGAGAGGATAGACTATTCCGGGGAATTTTGTTGTTCGTTGTTTGTTGTATGTTATTTATTGGGGAAATAAACCATGTTGGGGAAATAAACCTTACTGACGAGGTGAATTCTTTTAGGAAGAGATCCACAGGGCTTCTTCTTTTAGGATTAACTTAGTTGGGGAGAGAGCTGTCAAGAGATTGAGACTCTGGCTGGGGATTAACCTATGCAAAGAGACTTTGTAGGCAACTATGTTGGAAATTGGTTAATTGTAGCCGTCCTTGTGGGGATAATGCTAATGAAATAACTCTGTGGGGATATTCCATACACATTAAAGAGATGCTTGCTGCTGCTTAGCAGGACACATGTGCCAAATAGTTTTAATCATGCTCACATGCATATGTTCGTTCAATTTTAGTCATTGGATATTTTTTCATTCAGAACAAAAACAGAAAGTTTGCACTTCAAAGTATATTTGTATTGATATTTTGCCCATGAATAGGCGTTTTTATACAAAGAGACGGAGATCCTAGTAAGGGGAACTCTTCGAAAGGAAAACAAAATTGAAAACAAAGATAATAGCCATGTGGAAGTGATCTCATTGCATTCCAACTCTACTATTGCCCCAATGTCTTCGAACGTTCCTTGTCGTTGATTGGATTGATCTTGGACCGTTTGAACCCGGACCTTGGTAATAAAGTCGACTGTGGTGATTCCACGGGACATAGTCATACGCTTTTAATCCTTAAATTTTTCCTGGACCGCCCTTTTGGGTTTTCAGCCCACCAGGATACCCATTTTTGCCCAAGTCGCCCTTTCGGGTTTTCAACTTGCCGAGTGTACAATCTTTTGCATATATCCCTAATTTTTCCCAAACCTTTTGGTTTTCCAGGATGCCCTTATCTTGCTTAGGTGTGTGATCCTAGCGGGTCTCTTATGCGTAGTATTTTTTAACTATGTTCGCGTTCACAGGATGTGGGAAGTCTTCACCATCTATGATAGTTAGCATCATGGCACCACCAGAGAATACTCTCTTGACAACAAATGGCCCTTCGTAGGTGGGAGTCCATTTTCCCCTGGGGCCGCCTTGTGGAAGAATGATGCGCTTTATTACCAAGTCACCAGCTTGATATACTTGAGGCTGTTGCACCCTAAATTTTGCCCCTAATTTTTTCAGTCGCACTTTCATATCATATTTTGTCATTTGGTCACAATCATTAATAAATAGCTTCATTCATTACATTTGCGTCATTTAATCGTGTTTAAGTTGACCAAAAGTCTGTTTAAATCGACATTTGCATCATTTTGTAGTTAAAAGATACCCGACATTTCATTTCATGCATTCTTATCTCTGTACTCTTTTCTTGCATTGCTCCAAGTTATTTATAAGTCGATAATATTAATATTTCAGTTTTATAGACAAAATGTTAAAAGCGAATCGACGTTGTGCGGAAAATTAGTGAGAAAAATATTTCGAGTTTTCACCTTTTACCGATCATTTTATGAATCTGCATTTCGCGTATATTATGACGGTATGCTCACTTTATTTTTTCGGTACAGTTTGAAGTCTCGTTTTTAACCGTAAATGTATGTTCAACCTGATATTTTTATTATTATTTTATTTCGATTTTGACTTTTTGAATTTTTTTGTTTAATCATTGTGACATGCAGTTTATTTTAATGTGTTTGTTTTATTTTTTCGGATAAATTTTCGTCCATTTTTTATCGTTTTTAGTCATTTTAGGTCTTTATTTTTTATTTAAAAAAAATCAATTTTTTTTTAAATTGAGTTAATTTGAATACTTTCAGTTTTTTATTTTATTTTTATCATTTAAGGGCTTTTTAGTCACAAAATAATATTTATTACACTTTGCTTGATTTCTATTGGTTGTTGACAAAATTTATGGATTAACGCAGATTGAATAATTTTAAACGGATCTGAATAATTTTTGAAATCATTTTTTCCTCTCCATTTTCCTATATAATAGTCCTTTATTTTCTTTGTAATACACACACAAAAAATGCAACACAGTAGTTTACTTTCTCTTTGTTTCTAATCTCTTCCTCACCAACAACAAAACAAAAAGCAAAATAGCATCTCAAATTATCTTCCTCTCTCTAGCGCTTTTTTTCATTTGCTACCATCACCCCCCTTCAATTTGCCAACAACCAAATCCCTACTTCCTTTTCTCTACCCCTTCCTTCTTCAATCAATTTCCACCACCCTTCTCCATTCTACAACCCATTACCCTTCGCCTTACAAATCCCTTCTGCCTCCTTCCTCTTAACCTGTCAACCCACCAACCTTCACCAACTTACAGCAACCCCCTCCGCCTCTGTAACCCTTCCACACTTTCATCAACTTCCACCCTTCAATCCCTTACCCACCTACTGTCCAGCTTCGCAAACACACAACCCGCCTGTTACTTCCATTTCGGCTAGCAATCCTAAACCTCTCCACGCGAACTGTAACAGCATACCAACACTATCCCAATTCCCACCTCCATCAACACACGTCTTCTTCAATCCACACTCTGTTGTCCAGAATTCCTTCATCCTCTACCAACAACTAATTCAATCGCACTTCCAATTACCTCCGTCTCACCACCGGCAACCTCCTCTAGCTACCCAATTCCAGCGTCGTTAGTACCCCTGTAAAATTTCCACTGCTCCAGATACAACAGTTTCAACAACAACTTGCTTGCTAACTTCCGTCGCCGTTCAACAACAAACAACAACTTCATTTCTTCTGATGAATTAGACATCCCGGTAATTATTTTTTCTCGATTTTGTTCAATTGAGTTGCTGATTTGTTTATATAATTGTGTTTGATTCTGTAGTAGTGTTGGATTATGCTGAATTAATTGTGTCGGATGCCATTCCGTTTGTGAATGTTGAGTTATTATCATGTTTTGTTTGAACTCGATTGAAATTTATACCATGATAATTTGTTCTTGTTTATATTTTAATTGAATTTTTGGCGAATGATATCCATGTTAGTTTTGATGAAGTAGACGTCTATTCTGTGTTCATTTGCGTAGAATATGACCAAGAAATTATGGGGCAGCTGATTTGTTTTTATCGTTGTATCAACTTTTAATTGAAGAATAAACCCCATTCCCACTTGTGTTGATTTTGATTAAGTTTAGAATCTTTTGATCATCCAAATTGGTTTCGAATGAAGTTTATATGTCATGATTAATTCTTACTTCGTTTTGAATTTGTTTGAAGTAGATGCAATGTTTTGAACCGATTGGAATTAATGATCACATTTTGATATTTATGGTTTGCTTTTCATGTGATATTTAAAGTTATGGCTCTTTAATTTGAACCTATTTAGAAGGAGATTTGGTTGGTGTTTGATGAACAATTCAATTTGAATTCGAATGTTTAATTCATGTGTTGTTACTTTTTATTTCCATTTAATTGCGTTTGAGATGAACTTTGTGGAGTATTTTTTAAGATTACATAGTGACTGCCCGGATTTGTTTTGTTTAATCTTGGTTTGTTTCGGAATCGATTTCCCATGTTTGAAATAATGTATGGAATGTTTTTTTTTTGTGTTTACATTGAGCAATCTTTCTTGATTCTTATTTGTGTAAATATTCATGTGCATTCATACAATTTCTTTTTTAATTTTATACTTACTAACACATGTTTTAATCGTTGCAATTTCCTTCATTTTAATTTTTATACCGCTTATGCTCCTAACGAGTTTGTTTACTGTGAAGGTTTCTGAAAATCGTTTCAAGTATTTATTCCCGCATAGCGCGTCCACAATTCCTACACTTCTCCCTTTTACCTTTTTATTGTATTTTACTATTCTGATTTAATATTTGGTACTGTAAATATATACTTGTATATAATTTTTTGACTGTATATTTTATTCACTTCACTTGTAAATAAATTCTGGTTATGTAAATATTATTTTTGTTGCGTTACGACTTTAAACTTTAATTCAAATTAACTTTTAAAAATCGTACGGACGCATATAAATTTTTCCGTGCTGTTAGTTTTGTGTGTATATTTCATGTGATGCATGGAATCTTTTCCGATACCGTGAGCTTTATCCACGCGTTCTTCGTCCGTGATTTATTTTCACGTGCTGCGCTATTTTTATTCGTTGCTTGGACTATTATCTTACATATGGTTTTTTGATGCAGTTAGCTTGTGATTTATTTTCACCCGAGGTTTGGAATACTCTTAGCTTATTTTTTCTATATGTGGCTTTAAACCCCAAAGGGATGGGAATATTGTACTGGCTTTATCATGTCAAGTACTGATTTCTTATTCGGTCGGATCAACTTTGCCTTTTACCCTCCTGTACATAGGATACTGTTTTCATTTTCTCATATTCTTTAATTTTCAAAACCTTCTCATCTTTTTCAAAGTCTTCTTTGTTTATAAGCTCGAATCGCTTTCATAATAAACCTCGACTTTGTCGAGTGCCTTTTCTTTTAAAACTTCTTTTCTTTAAACAAACTTCAATTCACTTAATCATACTTAGACATCTTTCAAAATTAACAAAAACACTTCAACTCATTCAAACCTTTTGTACGCTCGAGCACCTTTACCCTTCAAAACTTTTTTCAAGATGAGACATGATTCATTGATAGTCGAGCAACATTCTCCTATCCCTATGGTTATAAAGGTGTCGACTTTTCCACTTGAGTACCAGAGGCATTCTCAAATCCTCACTCTTGCTGATGCAGGGTCCATCTTTCTCACACCTTGTGGGCGTTAGTCGATATTTCTCTCCTAACAATGACGACTTGTCTCCTTGTTTAAAAATAATCAACAAACAAGTCTTTTCTAGCCGAACTACGGTGCTCTGACTTTCCCATTGCATGAGGGAGTACGTAGGCACTAAGTCTTACTACCCAAGGCGAGCAACAAAAATAATAAAAAAAACATTTAATTTTCTTTTGTTTACAAATACTCATTCATTCTTTTTCTTTAGCAAGTAAACCTTTACATGACACTCCTTTTGAAAGAAACCAAACAAAGTGGATCATGCGGAGTACCGTAGATGCTTAGGGTGCTAATATCTTCCCTTTGCATAACCGACCCTCGTACCTCGATCTCTGATCTTTTTGGGTTTTGTTCGCTTTTTTCCCATTTCCCTTTGGAAATAATAAAGTGCGGTGGCGACTTCATTGTGTTGAGTTAAGTCAATTGATGGCTTAAATCTCAAATCTTTACCGCTACATTTTCTTTTACATTATCATTACTGTCGCAGTTTCGTTTTCTCTTAGTTCTAATTTGCGCGTGCGACAGAGGCTTGATCTTTTTGGTGAAAGCCTTGATCATACGTTTTTGGTACATCTGACCATGGCAAATGGCAGTCAGTCGCTTTTCATCGATCAAGTTCAACTGATCCAATCTTGTCTGAATCCCTTCGTCTTCGCCTAGACTTGCTTCATTCATAATCCTTAATGAGGGAATCTGAAATTCCACTGGAAAAACAGCTTCCATGCCATATACTAAAGAAAAGGGAGTTGCCCCAGTTGATATTCTAGCTGAAGTACGGTAGCCATGAAGAGAAAACGGTAACATATCATGCCAATCTTTGTAGGTTACTACCATCTTCTGCACAATCCTCTTAATATTTTTGTGATGCCATTCATTTTAGGTCTGTAAGGAGAAGAATTGTGATGCTTGATTTTGAACTGAGTGCAAAGTCCTGTAATCATAACATTGTTGAGGTTAGTACCATTGTCAGTGATGATCCTTTCGGGGATACCATAGCGGCAGATGAGGCTATGTTTGATAAACTTGGCTACCACATTCTCCGTGACTGAGGCAAATGAGGCGGCTTTGACCCATTTGGTGAAATAATCAATAGCAACCAGAATGAAGCGATGTCCATTAGAAGCAGTGGGTTTGATATCTCCAATCATGTCAATGCCCTACTGTTTACAGTGATTTCTAGTAAATAACCGCTAGTCTTCCAATTTATTGACTATTATTGGTTACTTGCAGGATCGACTAGATTGATCCTAGGACACATGTGTCATAACTCATTTTTATGTTCATACCTGTGATACGGTGGGAGAACTGACTTGGGATTTTGCGTTTGTTTTCGCAAATGTTTCGGTTTAGCAAGAGTCGCCACCGACTTTTTATTTTATCCTAAGGAAAGGTTAAAAAGCACAGGAAAAACCTTTGAGATTTTTTCATGGGTTCAGGGAGTAGATTATAGAAAGGGAAGGTATTAGCACCATTTCTATCCATGGTTATCCATGGGCTCTTAGTTACTTTCTTAGATCACTTGCCTTGCATTTTCAATTGTTTGAAATGGTGCTTTGTGTGATTTTGAAAGATGTTTTGAAAAAGAGGCCATCGTTGTGGCAACCTTTGTAATGATTCTTGTTTGAATGTATACAAAGGTGTTTGTCTTTTTGAAAGGTTTTCAATATTTTGAAAGTTGTTTTGAAATTGTGTTGTGGAGTGTGTTTTGAAAAATAGCAAGGATGTTTTGCAAGATTTTTGATCAAGTAACTAAGAGTTGTCTACCCTATTTTACTCAAAGATCTTTCTTATGTTTTTAACCCTTTTAACAGTGTTGTTTCACCATTGTATTTGGTGAACAACCTTGTGTTAGGATGTAAACGGGACGGGCGCGGGTCATCGTATAGACCATGATAGCAATTTTGCAAAGTATCTTAGCATTTCTTTTGAGGGACTAAGATCATTTTTGTAAGGCAACTTTGGATAGCGTCATCGAGGGACTATGATCTTTTGATTTTGTTTGTTTTACCAAGATACTTTGCATGCGTAACATGACCCATTTTTGAAGACAACAAGTGGATGTAACCCTAGGGGTGTTTGTGTGCAAGTGTGCTTTATTGCATACAAGAATTTATCTTTGAATTAGGATTTCCTATTTCATTGATTTTATCTTGCCATACACATCCTAATTACTAGCATTTATATTTGAAAGCAATAAAAAGCAGAAATATAAAATTCTACGCTATTACAGCAATTAGGGGGTGGGGATACATATTTCTACATGGGGTGGTTCAACGAGAAAAATAGACAAGAAAAGAAAATAACAAAAACAAGATAGAGAGAAAGAGAGAGGGAGCCAGCGCACTGCTGAGAGGTCATCATAAGTTCTGACTTGGGCCCGCTGTCAGATGATCAACCTTTTGGTTAAACTGTATGAGTCATAACTTCTGACTCTTGCACCTGCAAAACAGAAACCTGTTAGTGGGAAGATCAAAAGTTTTGACCCCCATGCGCTGCAAGACAAAATTTTGTTAGTGGGGATATCAGAAGTTCTGATCCTGTTGGAAATACAATAATTCTCAGAAGTTATGATATTATTGACAGCAAAACAGGCTTCAGATGTGCTAACGTCAAAGTCAGCACTTGGCTTCTCCCTGTACTAGTCAGAACATCTGCAATTTTGTTTTTTTTCCACAAAACAGAAAACATGTTTGGAACAGCTTCAGCAAATGTCAAAGTGTTTCAGGGGACAGAAGCAACAAGGTCACATGCAGGTTCTATGCTGACTCACTTCCTATCTAAACGTTCTGAGGTATGAAAAACCTCAGAACACAAACAACAGCAACGTGATGTTTACATTATGTTTATTTGAGCATGCAAAGCTGATGATGCTTAGTAGTGTGATGAAGGTCAGCAGGTGCTTACCTGGCTATTGGAAAAGTTTGTGAATGAGAGCTAGCTTTTGGCTCTGATGGTGTTCTGGACAGGTTCTTTTTTGAAAGGGGTAGATGAAGGTGTATGTGTATGTATGGTCAGAGGTTGGAAGAGTGTTCTTTAGTCACAAAGAAAGCTGGGTATTGATGAAGTTTGAAGGTAAGAAGTTCAAAGTTATGAAACACTGGAGATTTTGGCAGAGTTTCACAGTACTTTCTTGCTAAAAATTTATGTTTCTCTTCTAGCAATTTTTCTGGTTGTTGGGCGCCCTTTTTCAGTGGACAATGGTTCTCTATTTATAGGCAAAACTCTTGTGGCTTCTTGAACATTAAAGGCGCCAACAGAGGTTGAATTGTTCTTTGAAAGAACTTCCTGGGAAGTTGTGATAACAGATAGCCTTTCAGCCTAGGCTGGAACAGCAGGCATGGATTGGGGAGAAGTGACCCCTTAGATGGACGGTGGCGCGTAGACCCATGCCTAAACCTGCATAAAGGCGTTTACCAAGCCACACGTGAAGGGACTACTTGGATGAATGTTCAGGAGTGGTTGGGAGCATTAATGAGCATTAAATAGTGATGAGACTTATCAACACCAAAATTCTGGTAATAGGAAAAAAACTTGAACCAGCAGTTCTGCTTTACCAAAAACAACGTAAACCATGCTCTGGTCTTGGCCTCTTGTTGTCTTAGCACAGTCCTTGGATTTGCTTCTGGAAATCCTAGACTTAGAGATTCTGTATCAGTGTAACACCCACTCTTCTGAACCTTTTATCTTCTGATTTCAACATGTTCTGAAGGAGCCTTCAGACTTCCTTGCTTCCTTTGCATTCCTTTAGCAAACTCTGGCTAAACTTGCGTAATTGCTGAAAGAGCTATGTTCTATTTGAGGCTTACGTGTTAAACCACGTTTGCAACTTCTGACTGAGTTGATGTAGCTGCTGAAGAGCCAGCTTCTGACTGTGTTGAGCCAAGCTTGCAACTTCTGACCGTTTCTATCTGGAGTTTGGTCCAGAAGTTCTGAAGCGCTATTTTCTTCTTAAACACCCATTTTTAGAGAAAAATTCCAAATGTTTAGAATTTAATTTTTCTCAAGATAAAAGCGTTGCCTTTAGAGCTTGTGTGATCACTTTGTTCTTGTAAATGGTTTGCTTGGGAAGAAATGATAATTT